CCTAGTGAGGCCGAAAGCTGCATAGTGGTTGCCACTTTACCTCGTTGATAGTTAATTGAAATTGGTGGTGTTGTTGCGATAGCATTATTTTTTGGTGTTTCGCATGGGGGGGTGTTTCGGAAGTGGGTACGTTGACTTAGTGCCTGAATCCCGCCGTTTCGGTTAAATATCAACGAGCGGGCAAAGTGTGAAGCTCAGCCTGCTCATGACATTGACATGGATGGTTCAGCTGCTCTCCAATGGGTTGCTAACTCCAGCTTCTCAAACACCGGGTGGCGTCACGAATTCCAATACTCCAGCGTCTTGATTCCATCCCTTCTACGTTCTTACTGTCACTCTCTCGAGAATTGAGAAACTTGCAACCAGAATTTACGATGGCTGATCAGGCAAAATGAAAGTTGCTACGGCCATTGTGGCAGATCAGGCTGCAGAGATGATGACAGGGTATCGAATCCATTTCTTACGCCTGTGTCGTGCCAGTCGCCCGGCAGCGCCGGTGCAACATGTTAAGGCTGGGGTATCGGGATTGCTGGCTGACTGCCGTCACTTCCACATGTGGTATGGAATGTTGCAAGCATCAAGAGGACTTTCGACCCCATTCACACTCGGCTCAAACCTTATCACAAAGCAAATCTTACGGCTCAAGAGTAGAGCTTCGCCATAATTGGGAATAGTACCTTCCACGTATTGTTTGCACCATTGAAATGATTGCTTAGTAGGATTTCTACCTTCGGCCCGACCGGAGAGACATGGCAGCTTTCTCAATCGTACCTTATGGTAATTCACGATGATTTCTGGTGAAATATAACATATTTCGGATGAGTCTTGAAAGCCTTGGGCTATCCGGGCGAATAGCGGTAACAGAATTATAGCAGTAATGAGTTCGTCGACAATTAAAACTATGTCAGTGATAATTAAGGGAAAATAAGCATAGGGATAACAATACAGGCAATCCACTTTTCGTGATTGTTCAAAAGTAGTTATCCCTTAAATCAGCCGAACCTCATTCAAAATTTATTGGTTTCTGCCTCAAAGTCGACCTAATCTCTTGAATCGGTCGGGTCTGCCCAAAAGATCTACGAGAGGTGAGGAGGTGAGAATCAGGCTGCAGCAGGCGGCACGCGTGGGACTAACCGCATTAATGACAGAAAACCACCTTAAATGCGGTCGATTCCTGCATGTTGGAACACAAGATCTCTAATTACAAATCCTGTTTGACCAATGAATGGTCCCAAGCTGAACAGCAGAGATTCACACATTTCAGCTGTCTCGGAAGGATCGCATGGATGCAGACTCTGCAGCCTGCTTAAGCAACAAGATTCACTGTCAAATAAATAGCGTTCAAAATCCCGAAAATTAGTCGGCTGAGATTCTCATTTTCTCAACCTTGGGTGCACGCATGCATGAGCATTTGGCGCGATGTCTGTCTACCTGCCCGTCCCCACGTCCGTGGACGTCCCTATCGATGAATCCCGAGATTCCGCTTCACTCAACTCTAAATCTCAGTTGCTAAACCACGAGGAAACCATGCATGCCTGCTCGCCGTTGCAGCAATACGAGCTTCAACATCTACCGCCAACGAAAAACGGTACTTATGCTATTAGCAGGAAGCCATTGCCGACTTCTTCAATGCTACAGCATTCAGCGACGCTTAACGGAGCAGGCCCGAGTCACGCCACCTCAGAGCCGAATGAGAACAATCAACCCACCCAGAACGAGACAAAAAGAATATCGCACGACGAAATTGGGAGACTACGCCACGACATTGAAAGTGACCAGGGTCGTCAGACGGACTCAGAATCGTTCATACGGGCGGCACAACAGGACGACAATTTGTCTGAGCATGACATTCGTCCTTCCCCTTCCGCACAAAGCAATGCAGATGTACCCCCGGGCACTCGAAGAGCAAGGCCTGGATCCTCTTTCGTACATCGTCTCTGGCTATGGGAGATTGCTGCCTCCGCTCTCAGCCTTGCCTGCATGGCATCCATCATTGGCGTCCTATCTTACGAACAGGGGCGAAGACTCGACCAATGGGGGCTGGGCAAAGGATCCCTCACTCCCACTGTCGTCGTATCATTTCTGGGAACTCTCGCAAAGTCCGCTTGTCTTCTGGTCCTTACCGAGGTCATATCGCAATTGAAATGGCTTCACTTCCAGAACAGGTCGCAGAAGCTGAGTGACCTACAACTATTTGACAACGCCTCTCGTGGTCCTTGGGGGGCATTCCAATTGGCATCAATTAGAAACCGGAAGACTATGCTTGCTTCGTTTGCGTCCATCTTGGTGGTTTTATCCTTGCTGGTTGACCCATTCATCCAGTCAGTCTTTTCGCAGCCTGTCATTCTCACACCAGTGAAAGGCGTTAGCCCCGGCATCCTGGAGACTCGAGTCTACGATCCTTCGTTCCTCAATGCTAGATTCGGGCAGTGCTATGGCGCTGCGAGTGTTCAGTCCGAGATGCAAGCAGCAATATTGGCACCTATTTGGAATGCCACTCCAGCTCCATCGCTGCCTTGCAGTTTCGAGCGATGCAACTGGCCAACACTAACCACATTGGGTGTCTGTAGTAGCTGTGAAGATCTCACAGATACAGTGGTCCCAACTTGCGTCGTCAATCCAGACGAGACATTCAAGTTGATTGACTGTAACTATACGGTACCTTCCCAAGACGCCACCTTCAATGCGGTGTTCGGCATAACAGGCGGGGCCTCTGTCAGAACCCCTTACTCTACAATTTGGAATTCAATTGCCGGGGATCAGTGGCAGACCACTCTGGATGATGCGTGGAATTATCGCATAGTACCCAGCTTTACTGAGTCACGACGAGCTGTCCTCAGTAACTTCACATTTGTGAAGTTCCCCCCCAACACCACGGCTTACGACTATGTCAATGCCGATGACACACTGCGGGAAATCCCTCCAGTTTCACAGGCAATGCACTGTACGTTAGAACTCTGCGCCAGAACGTTTACAACGCCTTACTACGCCAACTTTAGTGCAGCACCGCTAGTCGGGCCTCGCACGGCACTGGTGACGGCCAGAGACGGTACTACCGAAGGCAATCCCGCTAGTGCATTTATTGGGTTGGAGCCGGCCAGTCCAGGTCAACTGCCCGAAGAGATAAAGTTCAGGATTAACTACTGCAACTACAAAGACATCGCTAAATACCTGGTGGACCTATTTACAACGTCCATGAGCACTACTGGAGTGGTTGGAACAACCAACGACAGCTCTACATCTGGGACCAACCAACAGATTCGTCAACGTATTACGCCAGGACTAGGTTTGGCGTTTAGTCAGTTCGACAACATCGCAGAGCTCATGGATGACGTTGCGGACAGCATGACGGAGGCGTTCCGAACGTCGGCCAATAACACAGTCCTCGACGGTGTGGCGATGAGCAGTGTCACATACATTGAGATCACCTGGCCACCACTGATCCTCCCCATCGGTTTAGTTCTCATGACATTTACGATGCTCGTAGTCATGATCATCCGCAACAATCAGCGCGGGATGCCTATATGGAAGAGCTCGAGTTTGGCGTTGTTGTTCCATGAGCTTTCAGGCTGGGATGGCTCTAAAACTGCCGCCACGGGACCTGAGGAGGTGGAAGAGCAGGCGAAGAGCATGCACACAAGGGTTACGAATGGTGGCGGAAAGCTGTTGTTCTCTAAGGCAGAGTGAATGGTGGAGAATGCAAAAGATTGATGAAGCAAGAGTTCGGCTTTTTGATCCGTTTGTATCTCCTCGACCCGTAAAGATTGATATGTTAATGTTCTCTGATTGAAGGTGTGCCTTACCTGACCAAGTTCTGGAGATTGACATGGTGTGGACTAGTAGTCCTACCATCAATGGGGTTAGTTCTTATCTATGTTGTTCGCGAGGAATAAATAAAAGTAATGGAAACTAAACATTGAAGAACCGAACTTGAAAGGCTAAAAGACAAACAACGCAACCGCCCTATTCCTCTAACCTTCCCGCGTCCAGTGCCCCCTACCCCACGCAAAAATATCAATCTAATGACCCCGACGTCCCGCAACGCAATGTTAGACCCCAAATCCAAAATCCTGAGCCACTCATGACCAGAATCAACAAGCACTCTTCATGATTACTTGCGTCTCCTGTTTAATGCGGGCTTTCCGCGAGAGAACTTGATTTTCTTCTTGCCGAGGAGGGGTTTGCCTGCACCAACATGCGTCATAGGAGGGCGGGGTCTACCCATTTGCTCGTTGACTGTTGAATGATTCCGAGTAACGGCGGCAAGTGTCGTGGAGAGAACAAACAGCCCATTCAGAACAAGTGCGGTGACTGAAACCCCCTTCAGGTGGTGGCCCTGAGAATAGACAATGTCCCCATGTGTCAGTTTCAAAGTTGAGGTCAACTCCTCATCGCTATTGAGCAAAGCCCAAGTTCCTTGGGTGGTGAAAAATGTAGCACCGATGGACATGAGACCAAAGCCCATGCAAAGCCCGGCACAAGCCATGGTCCACATGCACACGGTGCGTCTCGACCCCGCAAGATAGAAGAAGAGGGGAAAGATGGCAAATAAACCTGCGGCCAGTACCAAGAAGAACGCTGCCCACGCCAAGCCAGGAGTGAGAATCTTTTCTTTAATATCTCGCGCGGCAAGGAGAAGCTTTTGAAGCATGTCGGTGTCGAGGGTTGTGTCATCTTCCAAGTCCAGTTCGTCGCGGAAATGTTTCAAGACTTTCGCCCCGTAATTGGAACTGTCGGCGTTTTCGCTGTCATCGTCGGGGAAGAAGTAGACTCCTTTGCACTTGCTGAATGCCCCAGAGTCGGAGTCTGTCTGGATTTGGGCAGAACTGTATACACATATACCTGATGAAGGTTGTCAATCACACTAGTTCCCCTGAGCTAGCATCATACAGGAACTCACCAGAATATCCTAAAGTCACATTCATCTGTGAACCCTCTGTACTTAAACCAACGACGTAGGAATTCTTAAAGAAGATTCCGGACGCGGAAGAACCCCATAGTAATAACCCTATTACCGAGTTAGCTGGGCTGCGAGACAGACATAGTTCGTCGGTGAACGTGAGTTCGCGACATTCTTACCATGAGCAATGACTGCGCCGGCCCACAGCAGGTAGGTTACACTGCCAAAGAAGAATCTGTGACGCGTTTTGGATCCTTGATACATCTCGTGTACGGTGTTGATGGCGACGGTCAATGATAGGTTATTGATAAAAAGAAATAGACGCTTGGAAAAAAGACTATTTAAATCAGGAGCTGTGCAGAAGATGGCTTTGATTTATTGAGGCCTTGAGAACCGATGCTGATCAATAGTGCAAGTGCAGAAGTCCGCCCAAGAAGTTGTGGTGCTTTTGTATGTCAACAGCTTCCCCTTTCACGAGCACGACGATGGAGGACCAGGCGACCAATAGCTTCGTGTGGTAGACTCGTCGCATGGCATGCCGCCTCAGTAGTTGGCAGATCTATCTTTATTAGATGTGGCTTTCTTCTCAGCCCAGCCTGACTGCAGCGACGCAGAGATCATGCAAGCCTTCCCAGTGGCTGAGACGAAGACCACATCGTCTTGGCGCCCAACAGCCGGCATACCAGCTTCCTCCAGCCTTGAGATGGAAGCTTGCAGAAGGCACTATTGGGGGCCAGAATCTACCTGGGACTGAGTAGATGATTTATTGCATGACGAAGGGCCGCATTGGTACATCAGCTTCAATGGCCACGACTTTGCGGCTTAGACGTGAGCGCAGTTGGATACTATCACATGCTGCGGCGTTGAGAGGCAAGATGTATAGAGGCGAACACCCTTGAAAATGAAACAGGACGCATTCAACCTAGGAGTCTCTATCTAACACTGGGTATTCACCGCAGCACTTCTCCAGCAGGCCGAAGATACAAACTTCATGATAATTTGCGATAGCAGATGACAAAGCGGGCCAACTCATTAGCCCAGAAAAACAAGAACAGAGCAGGCAGAAAGCAAATGCCGGCTGCAGTCAGCGCCAAGGTAAACGGAACAAACTTAGAAATGATGTTGATGTATGTGTGGTGGCCGGGGAAGGTGTCATGTCCCGTCTGCAATGCAGTCAGCACAACCGTAGCCGCGCCGAAGACAAATAGGTAGGGTGCTCCGAAACGCGCGAAGAAGGTGGCGTAGTTGTGGTGAACCTTCTGATAGGACTTCAGCCGAATTACTCTATGCCACAGATTGAGTCGCGTGAGCCGGATCTCCCCATAATGATACCGTGGAGAGACATCCCTATCTCGTAGGGTGGTAAACCCTCGAATGAAGAGACACCACATGTCCCAGTCGACGAAACCGGGCAGAAGTTTCTGATTCTTTGCGATTTCAAAGTCTGATTCGTGAACAATGAGTGAGGAGTATGTCCGAAGGAAGCCGAGCGCGTCGAGCATCAGCCGATGACCATCTTGGTCCTGAGCCTCATCGATAGCCGCCGCCCAAACACCATAACTGAAGAGAAATTTTGGGATTGGTTTGATGAATATTCGGTCGTAGTACCATACCAGATGCAAATCTGGACGCTCGGTGATGCAGATGCGCCGGCTGTTGAGGAGTTGATGGTGTAGCGGGTTGATGTTGTGCCGGTTTGATACCAGGAATAGCATCCAGTAGAGCCGTCTCAGCCTTTCCGTGGAAATCTCTCGAATGAGGAAGTTCTTTACTTCCTGATCGTTGTCTATCGGTATTGTAGGGTAGCCCGGTACAGAACTCTGGAGCTGAACCAGCTGACTATGCTCATCGAACGGGATGGTGACAGCCTCCTCGACGATGGACCCCATCTTGACCAGATTTGGCGTTTCTGCTGATGCTTCGAACTGGAAAGACTGAACAAATCCGCGGGTTTCATGCAGAAGAATGCAGCTGAATAGCGTTTTAACCTGTCTCGAACGGGGCTGACTCGAAAACCGTAAGCTCATGCCCAGATGAATGAAGGCGTGATCTGTGGTGCAACCCTGCGAAGCTGGATAGCCTTATCGGGCCGCCCGATAATTCTAAAAAGTCGATGCAGGCATACCTGACGATGCTCCCTCGACATGATGCATCGTATGATGAAGAATCTTGTGACATGAACACCGAGCCTCTTAACAGGCAAACGCTAGGACGCCATTGCGAAAAAAAGCCACTCAGCAGCCACGGGCCGTCGCTTGCAACCACAAGAGATGCCACCGGTCACCAAACTCATGAGGGTCTGGAGAAGGCTGGCCAGTGAGGAGGCAAGTGCTCAGTGACGACCTGACCTCTACGGGAAAATGCAGGTTTGACATGTGTGGGTGTGAGAGCGCATGAGAGAGGCGCATGAGGTGGTATTGCATGAACATGCATATGTGTGGTGTGGGGGCTCTCATGATTTTAGGGTACTCGAACTCGATGTACCTTTTGTTTTCTCATGAGGCAACATGAGTGCACCGATCAAGCTGCAGCAAGCGCCAAGACAGTCAGCCCTGGGCGAAGTGTTGCGCCAGCCCCAAATTTGTGGAAGTGTAAGCCGCCGCTTCAAGAGCCTGATCGTGAAAGTGAATGTGCTCAATGATGTCGAAGCCATGATACCCTTGATAATATGCAGGCGAGCCAAGGGGTTGACCGCAAGAAGTCCGAGTTTCCATCACTTGAATAATTCATGTTCTAATATTTTCCTTCATCTGTACCGTTCACGAATCACTACGAGTGTCTAGGATTGCGATTGAGATCGTGTGTCTTCGAAGACTTCAAGTCAACATGGAGAAGCCTTCAACCGATCAACCCCGAGAAACAAAACCAGAGGCGTCCAGTGGAATTGAAAGTCTCATCAGGATCCCTGAAATAAAGCGACAGGACCTTGGACTCAAGGTTCTGTATGAGAATCAAGATGTAGACGAGATTGAGGTTGAGTGAGTCTTGTCTGCCGAAATATGAATGAAGACCTAAGCTTTTGGTGATGGTCACTAACTCGCATGCCACCAGCATCGTGGCTGTCCACGGTATCATGGCCGACCCGAACACGACCTGGACCCACAAGAAAACCAACACCAATTGGCTTTCTGACCCATCAATGCTCCCAGAATCGTTGAAAGGCCACAAAGCAAGAATCATGAGCTTCGGATACGACTCAAGATGGTTCGGAAAAGACTCTACGAGGCAGTCTCTGTACAACCTTGCCGAGGACTTCTTGTACCAGTTAAATCAGACAAGAGAGGTATGCCTGATGTTCGCGACTTGAATGACAATCATTGTGCGGATAACTGATGTCAGGCACGTTAGGCATGTACCCAACGTCCAATGGTCTTGATTGCCCATTGTTTTGGCGGACTCATCGTGCAGAGCGTACGTAATGACCGAGTCGTTCTGCGAACTGACTGTAGCAACTTACTGACAGCTTTCCAGGCTTACAATAAGTCGTGCATGCAACCTGGAGACTTCCCGGGAGTTTGGCAGTCAATGAGAGGAATGGTGTTTCTCGGGACGCCCCACTCTGGTGTCAACGAAGGCTCCTCCATGTCCAGACAAGGCGAGATTTATGCGGCTATTGCTGCTAGCAAGATGGAAATACAAGACAATGTGTTGCAGTCTATTATGCGGGACAATGATGTCCTCGAGAGCACCCGCGCCGAATTCACAAGGAAGGTTAGCACGTCTAAGCCGCCACCGAAGATCTTTTGTTTTTTTGAGCTCCGGCCAACCAATTTGGGTGCCATTGTTGGAGCGCAACTACCAAAGGTAAGCAGTCGAGCAAGAATAGTCCCCTCTATCTTGAAGAAGTTCCACTAATGTCGCTGTTGCAGGAGTTTCTAGTTGGTGAGTCGTCGGCAACACTGAGTGGGCATGAGAGACAGGGACTCGCTGTGGGCCATTTCTACATCAACAAGTTTGAAGACAAGTTCGACAACCACTATCGCAACGTTGCATACCAACTTTTGAGAATGGTGAAAGAAGCCAAGATGCATTCACAAGATGCAATCAGTGGTACGGCACACTCTCTATTCGAACTGAGACTTCTGTCTAACTGTTAAGTGAAGCATCAGGGAGTGCGCCATTGCCGCCTTTGGATGGCCGAATTGCTGTATTACCGGGCCTCATCGGAAAGCGTCAGCACTTTGCCCCGCGTCAGAGAATTTTGGAACGGCTTGAGGAAAGACTATCCAAGAGAGGCATGGCTGCCTTGTGCGGAGACACAGGAAGCGGGTAAGTTGACCATCGACCACAAAGTGCTCGATATCATTCGATTGACATGATGGTTCATTCAGGAAAACTCATGTTGCGGTGGAGTATGCCGACCGATACTTGCATCAGATTGGCAACAACTGTCAAGTCTTCTGGGTCAACGCCGCCAGCCCAGACGAATTTGAGGTATCATTTAAGAGAATTGGAGCTAAGCTCCGTGTGTCACCCTTGGGACTCAGCCATGACGCGTATCTTTCTGCAGTCAAGGAACACTTGAAGCACGAAGAACAGTGGTTGATGGTTCTGGATGGTCTCAACGATGACGAATCCCTGCATTTCACCAACTCAAATCCTGGGCAAGAGCCAAAGCCACTTCTGTCCTTCCTGCCCAAGCCTTCGGACAACCACAGGCTGCTGATAACCACTACGCAAAGAACCTTGGCCCTTCGACAAATGAATTCGAAAGACAAGAACGTTCTATCAGTCGGTGATCTGACACGGGACGACGCCTCACGCCTTCTTCTTGGAAGGGTCGCCAGTAGCTCTACTAACGGAAAGCGTATCGGAGAGATCATCAGCATTGTTGGTGATTCCGCCGGTGCACTCGAGCTTGTGAGACTCTGTGGCATTTTCACGCAGACAGCCTTTTCTTCTCAGCTACTCGACCTCTTGCGCAAGAATTGCAAGGGGAGCGAGGATGGAGAAAGCCCAAAGCCGGCTTGGAGCCTACTCTGGAATTCTCTAAAGGCCAAAAACAGTGAGCTGGCATATTGGTTCCACGTAATCGGACTACTGGATCTCCAAATGATACCCAGTATCTTCTTCTCTAATAACGAGAGGAAGACTTTACTCGAAGAGCTCACCAAACTGGGCTTGGTGGAGCATTCTGATGGACGAAGCTTCTATCGAGTAACAGCATTCTTTCGCCAATGCCTTGAGTCTACAATCACCGAGAAGCAGCGGATGGATGCAGAGGCTGCATTGATGCAGTCCGTGAATACAAAGTTCATTGATGACGAGCGAAGTGTTCTCCTTCCAGTTGCCTTAGCCGCTTTAAAGTTGAAGGCCGGCCGTCCAGATGCCAAGAGAGGACAAGATATCTTACGCGAGAAGGTGGAAAGCTACCGAAAACAACGCCAGAGCAGCTTGAGCCCGGATATTGGGTATCTTCCTGATGATCCTAGGCGGCTGTCAACGAGCTACGGTTGGGATCAACTTCGTCGAAGCACCCTTGAAGGCTCATTCAACCAGCGCACAGGCCTTCCTAACTCTCATCAGCGTTCTATCTCTGAAGATAGCAGTGGGTGGCCGTCGTGGCAGCGTCTGCAGCGGAGGTTGATGGATCCAGAATGGGAGAAGAGGCGTGAAACACTCAGGAAGGACAGTATCGCCGCTGCTCAAATCCTGTCTCACGGTCGGCCACCGAACGGCTCTGAGGATGCAACAAGTATCTACAGACGTGTGATCGACGGCTACTCCGCTGAACCCGAGGAATACCTCAAGTTGGCAAGCTTGCAATACAACTTGGCCATCGCACAAGGCTCAGAGGGAATGGTAGATGATGCCGCTACCACATTTCGCCAGGCACTCCAGACCATCCTTTCTGGTGATGACCCCAGAACTCGGAATATTGAGGCTACGAAGTTGTACTACCGGATCTACACCGACCTTGCAAGCATGTACGTCTCCGACGGGCGCTTCGCTGAAGCCGAGGAGACATTCATGCACTTTCTTCCAAGTCAGGCCAAAGACCTGGGACAAGACAGTCAACAGACTCTGAAGACGCGACATGAGTTTGCTCGCCTACTTCAAGAACGTGGTCAAAGCGAACTTGGCGGCCAGGAACTTGAGAGAATTCTCAAGGCCAATGAGCGTGTGCTTGGCAGCAACCACCGGGACACTCTTACGGTACGATGCAGCTTTGCGACGCACCTTGCGAAGATTGGGAAAAGGGACGAAGCCATCAAAATGCTGTTATCTGTGCAGAGGGAGCAGGAAAAAGCGTTGGGAAGTTCACACCGTGAGACAGCTGCTACTCGGCAGCTGCTTAACGAGCTTCACCAGTCCCAGCCTGTTGTAGCATGATGGCACTGGCTGATTTATGTTGAAATGCTTTGTTCTTTGAGTTGTATGATCGTTTCCTTCTGAAATCGCGTATGTCCGCGTTCTGTCGCTATCGTTGCCAAATAGAATAATTTGTTTTTGTCTTACTCATACATTGATATTGTCTCTGCCTTCTCTGGAAAGACCTACTGAGCAAATTCTAAGGAAGTCTGCAAGGCCGCGTAACATCCTATTGCTGCGAAGTTTGAATCCCATGTCCTCCATTAAATGCAAAATACCATGATCAAGGATTCTAGGAGTAACAATAACAAGTTTGTTAGAAGCGACGATAAGAATTATAGAGGAGATGATTGGAACGTTCCGTGACGACCAAGATAGCAGAGACGACAATAATAGGAACAGATAACGATAAAAGCAACGAAGAGACGACAGGGACGACAGGGACGTCAAAAACGATAGCAAGGCAGGATCCATACAGATGTGGTTATGGGAAGAGCAGTCCCTGTAGCACAGGAAGTCTCAATTATTCTTGTATAATTGCACTTTTCAGCTTTGAGAGAGGTGTAAATTCAATTTCTTCCTAATATCTATAGCCCTAAATGTAATGCAATTTGTGCCATATGTTCAATCAATTTCCATGCATGTTATTCATTATCGTTGGCCCCGTGTCTGCTGATCGTAACGGCCAGATGTTGAGTTATCCTGACTTCCATCATGCATGCTACTGATTTTGTCGTCGTGAATTGCGTGCTTCAGCTTGCTGCGCGGCCGCAGCCGCCTGAAGCATACTAGTCTGTTGCTGTCGCTCGAGTCTCAGTTGGTGCTGCCGGCCCTCGATTTCTGCTCTATGCACCGCCTCTTCTTGTTCACGTCGCAGTCTATCCGCATGATCTCGATCACGAATGCGTCTCCGCTCTTGGTCCACTCTCCGACGAGCATCCTCATCCAGAACGGCCTTCGGCATGCCCACGGCCCCGGCCGGTTGAAGTGCCTCGAGCTGATGTGGCTCAAACTGGGCAAAGAAACGGTCTTGGCAGGACTTCTCTGAGAGAAGACGCATTAGGTGTGGGATATGGCTAGGATCGCCCCGGTAGAGCTTGTGCTTGAAATACATGGTGGCTGAATAGGCGTATTTGATCGAAGTTTTAGTGTCCACATAAGTGAAAAGATTGTTGTCCTGATTGATGTATCGCCATAGCTGGATATCGAGCAAGGCTTTCGTGATGTGGTATGGTCGTGTGTTATTGAGCGCCAGGAACAGAGCATTCATGCTGCTATGGGAGGCGAACGGATCTGCCTTAGCCTTTTCAAGAGTGCGGATGGTATCTTCTAGTTCGGGTGAGATATTGCTGCAGTTGCTGCGATAGCAAAGTTCTTGAAGCGCCGTGCGTCCTTCATGGAGGCTGCTGGGGAAGTTCGGCTCATGCTTTGCCTTAATGAGGCCTTCGATGACCTCGCTGTGCATGTTTCTTGCTGCCTCATGAAGACTGCCATCATTGGGTGCAGCCTTCGCTTTGAGAAGAGCTTGAACTGCAGTCGTGTTGCCTCTGCCGGATGCGAAGAAGAGTGCGGTACGACCAGTATTGTCGCGATCACCTGGCTTGGCCCCAGCTTCAAGTAGCTTGACAACGAGTTCTGCGAGACCGAGCTGGGCCGCAACTATCAATGGCGTACCGCCCGACTTAGATCGAAAATTGACGACATCTCCTTGAATTTTTAAGCTTTTACTCATCATCAAGTTACGGCCAGACATGACTTACGATGTGCTTCAACTAGAACCTCTAGCATTGATGGCGCAATATCAAGTTTGTCGTTCTGGAAGAGTGCCCATACAAGAAGGGGTACCCATTCCTCACCACCATCCAACGTCATACCTATTGAAACGTTCGCCTTACAACCCAGCTGTATGAGACGCCTCGCGAGTCCCTCAGCCTTTGAGTGAGTCGCTATGCATGCCTGCACGGGGAAGCGGCCGTCAGGGAGCAAAGCCTCGACGTCAAATCTTGTTCGACTCCGTTGGCAGGCCGCAATCAAGACGTCAAGAATACCCAATGCGGTTCCCTGATCCATCATGGATGTTATGAGCGTTTGAAATGCGTTGGTCAAGGCCAGTCGTCCGGCGTTGTTCAAGCCCAGCTTCTTCAAAAGGTTTATGTTGCCTCGTCTCGCCGCAATTTGCAAAACTTTGCCGCCTTGGTCGTTCACATCAGCACCCCGGCCAACTCGAAGCAGTGTTTCAATAAGATGCTCCCGATCATGGCCTTCAACATGTGCGCTGACAGCATTGATCAAGGCTTGGTTCACACTGGTGCCTTCGCAACCCCACTCGAGCAGTGAGTGGATGAGCCAGAGGTTCGCAGGCAGCTGCCAATCTGAAGAGGCTGCAATAACGAAGCTCAGTGCCTGCTCGAGGGATGCGGGATCCGTTGCTGTTGCCAAGAGTTGGACAGCGTCGCGATTGTAGAGGCAGGCAGCTCGTGCCATAGCGCCATCGAGCTTGGGGCCCGATGCACCATGGTCCAGGAGGAACTGAATGATGTAAAGGCCCTTTGGAGACGCCCATGTATCTCCGTCCTTTGTGAGAGCGCTAAGCCCACCGCTAAAGATCGTGGGAGAAGTGATGAATTCGGACAGATACTTCAGGACATCCAGGGCGAGATTTCTTGAAGCCGCAGCTACAGCGGCGCCTTGCAGGTACTCGCTCTTCGCAATATTGGCGCCGTCGACAAGGAGCCTCAAGGTTGAAAGTCGTGCGGCTGCCACATCCATCTTCATTGTTGCGTCGATTGACAAGGCGACGGTATCCGACGAAGGGTCATGCTGTAGGAGTAAGCGGAGTATATTGGCTCGATTCGGGCTGAGTGACTGCAGCACAGCGCTGCCCTTTTCGGCATTGACATCTGCGCGACCTTTCTTGAGGAGCAGCTGGATGGTTTGGAGTCGATCCTCTTCATTGGCAGGCGGTATTGACCTACTCAACACGCGACAGAGAGCGTCGGAAACGGCGTCTCCTCTGATATCCGTTGAAAGAAGCATCTCAATCAGACGATGAGCCATCTTCACGTCAGGTAAATCAGTGGCCTGACTGAGGACTGAAGCCAAAGTCTTCGGGGACAATTTTCTCGATGTGTCATCAGAGAGAAGCTTCTGTATTGTATCGAGGCGACCGGAGTTGACAGCCGACATCAAGATACTTTCGATGCTTATTGCGGAGGCTGAGTCAACAGTGGTCCCGTTGACAACAACTAAAGTTTGCGTCGGGGTCGCGTTGCTCGGTGCTTCGGAGTCGCTTGCAGCAGCGTCGATGCATGCTTGTTGTATTCGGTGTTGGCCATGATCGCGAGCACACTTTGCTGCCTCTTTCAGAAGGGTGGAATGCTGCTTGGTTTGGGTGCGAGAAATGATTGCAAAAGAAACGTCCTCTTTCCCCTTCCGAATCGCTTCGAGCAGAGCTGCTCCTCCTTGGAAGGAGATGTCCGCTCCTTTTTCCATAAGAAGAGTTGCCTTCCTTACACTCCCTGCCTTCGCAGCGCGCACGAGGCCTTTATTCTTGCATTGGCGACAGGCCCCTTTGAGATCTCGTAGGAGAAGAAGTACCATATCAATTGGTGCCGAGTCGACGCATTTGAGAAAGAGTTCGCAATGGGGACTAGCATCAGCACCTTTCGCGAGCAGGATACTGGTCTTGATGGGGTCGGCGATACGAAGAGCGACAGGCAACGCTTCGTTAATTGCTTGTTCGTCCGCATCCTGAGCAAGGACGATGAGGATGTCGCTTGAGCAGTTCTTGGTAGCTAGCGAGAGGACATCACTTCGTTCCTCGATCTGGTCCTTTCCGGAAAACACTTTGAAAAGGTTCGTGCTCTTCGGTTTGGCTATGGAAACGTCGGCTCCACAATCTAGAAGCGCCTGAGCTAGCCCTGGTGTTGCATCTGGAATGAGGCCCTGGGCCAGTTTGGACAGTATTGGATTTGCTTCTTTGTAGCCGTAGTCGCCCGATTTTCGGTTTCCGTCTTCTTCGCGTTGATCAATCATGAGCTGCTCCACTCTGTCATAGTCCTCTTCCGTTGGGTCTTGAGGTTGATGATTTAGACTGGAGAAAGCACCGACGACTGAAGGGCTGAGGGACAGTGTCCGTCTCATTGGGGCCATCACCGTGCCTGACTGCCCTGATTTGGTCATGGTAGAGATTGCCATAGATAGAGTGAACGATGGTATGTTGCAATGTTTGTTGCTTTTGAGGCAGCGTGGTGAAAAAACAAATTTTGGTAAACGTTCTGTTATGCGATGTGAGTTTCTATGACCAGCGGATCATACCAGAGGAGCTGTGTATCTATTATTCTCATCGAAAATTTCGAAAAGTTCAAACTCATGGTCTGATTGACTGGGCATGCTGCCAGACCCCGAACCAAGCCTCATTCTTATTTCTTTCAGAGCCTGATCTTCTTTCTTGACATAGCGAACTGAAGCATGTAAGCTCAGCCCATCGCAGCCCACCACTCTCTGCTTACTACTGCATTGTACAGTTTCATGTGGGGGCTAGATTTGTCATCCTCACTCTATGGTGTGAGGGGTACTTCGTCCTGAAGTATCTCATGTAGTCACTTCGGCCATGTAGCCTGATCCAGCACCCCGCCAAGACAATATTTCGACGCCTACATGACACCTGCAGCCCTGAAGGTTGTCTAAGCCGCCAACCTGAACCGCGTCGAGACGGGTTGGATGGGATGGCTTCGCGGATTTCTAATTTCAGTACGCGCTGCAGACGCGCTGGACACCTTTAATCCGATTCATGTTTATCGCGGTCAAATGAGGAGTATTCTGACACTGATGAGCCTCATTTGAAGCTAAGAAAAATGCTGTACAGCCTGGGTCTTGCACGGCTATGTCTCAAGCGGGCGTCTGAGTCGTCGGCGCCTGAGAGAAAGGATTTCCGCCGACGGCATCTCAACTTCGCGGCCTCTTTTATACAAGCGGGCTTCTTTTCATCGGGGATGGGATGGGCGAGATTTGTTCTGACAAAACATCCCTTCCTATTCATTTCAGAGCGAAAGCTACACCAATTTTAAGCCGCTTACACTGGTCTTGACCCTGGAGGACAATTCTTTCCAGCGTGCGCCTATCTTGTCTCTTGCAAACGATCTATTCTCTTGTTACGAATCTTCTGCAATCCATTATCACAATACCAAACACCCATCAACTCCTTGCTTTGAAGAACGTACTCGCAAAAATGAGTTCTCATCCATCAAAATCGTCCTTTTCTTCCCACACGGGTACCGAAAGTCAGACACAACCACTTCACCCTCCTACTCTGAGGCCTGGCTTTCCCAGACCTAGCCCTGATGGCAATGTCAACAGTACCTATGACCGGCCTTCACAGCTGGACGTCACGATAGGCTCAGCTGAGCATGTTTTCAACTGCCTTCGTGGAGGTCGAGGTCTAGCATGCCCTCACTTTCCAAAGTATACCGCTGGAACACTCACCGTTCACTGGGAGTATCCAAGTCGGCTCGGCTTCTTCCATGCTTCCAGTCCCAAGGGTTTCATCAGCTACCTGGAAACAGCCAAGTTCTGCCCAAACTGCCTCGATCAAGTAGTTCCAAATGGGTACACCTACTGGACGATGATCCCAAGCGGCAACGGCCGGGCCATTGAGGGCCGCTGGCTAGACACAGCTATGTCATCGCAGATGTATCCACTGCTGTATCAATCTGGAACCGAGCGATTCAATCAAACAACTCTTCGGCCACAGTCTGTTCCTGACAATCTCATTACTCAACCCAAGGAACTCCCTATTCCCCAGATCGCCGAGGCCCCTGATGCGTGGCAGTGGATGCAATCTCAAAGGAAGCCCTTCTACATCGACGCACTTCACCTCACGAACGGTTGGACTCCATATGCCGAACTATCAGCTCAAGAGGACTCCCGAATTGTGAGGAAAAGCGGACAATCTTTCGTCATGAGCCGATCCTCTGGGGCTACCCAGATCTTTGCACAGCGGCATATTACCCAAGACCATGCCCCCCTCCCCAACATGACTCGCTCTTCGATACCGCAGCCTCCGTCCGATATGTCAATCACGAAGCGAAATCATCAGCAGTCTATTCCGACCGCTATTCCCACTTCCATTAGGACCGACCCACGTATCACTGCAACTGCGGCCTCTTCAATCACACGGAAGGCGGTGCCGGCACTTCCACACGTCCTGATCTATCCCACGTATCCTCTGTTCCTGATATGCAAAGGCGAGCCGGTGTCGCAGCTTCTACAGCGACTTATTCTTCAACTGCAGTTGCGAGCAGTCGGACTATGCTGATGACGAACACGGCCACTTCTGCTGATTCGAGATTGCGATCAACATCAGCGAATGGAATCCGCGCGGTATCACAGCCAGGGTTTGACACGGCAACCAAAGTGAAGCAGAAACCTCATGCTTTGGGTAGCAGCAATCGTCCTGACCATGGAAGCCTGCAGGATATGAGGCATGTTTCAGCAGGATTGCCGCGCCCTCAAAGCAGTCGTCCATCTAGCTCTGTGTCGAACCGAACTGTCCCTTCCCCTATGCCCATACCAACTGGAGATATCAAGCCAACACTAGTGGCGGCTCTGGGCTTCAATGCAACCATGTCAACCGGGAGTCAACATCCTATAGGAGATCCAGACTTGAGACCAATCGAAGGCTCCATCAAGCCACCGCCTGGGCAGGCCATAAAGCCCAATGCTGGAAAAGGAGAGCACATGTCTAACGTGGCGAAGGCCCAGGGCAACAATGGGCAGGTCAGTGTCCTTCACTCAAGATTGCATGGCTCTGCACCAAGCAGCAAGACCAAACCTCCAGGCTCAACCACATACCGCACCAGTAGCTGGTATCGTCACGATCCAATCGACTTTGATGAATTGGATTCTGGTCTGGCGACAACAGTACAACCGCAGTTGCCAGCGCCAATGTCTGGGCACTTGTCGTCACTTCCAACGATCCTTGAACCAGATAGTGGTACGAAGACTGGATCAGTTACCAGAGGCTTGGATAGTTCCCAAGTCACGGAGATTTTCCGACTTTTTGGACCTAATGCCGAAACGCGACCTACGCAGCCAAGCATGACGCAAAAGACTTCAAACAAGGTCACGAGTGGGATCCCGCCACGACATCCAGACAGAACCAACAAGCCGATATCAACAACTCAGAGCGCTTCGAAGGAGATGACAGGGAAGAAGCCAACGCCCCATCTCAAGCAGACTCAAGCCGCCCAGAAAGGATTTCAGGCGACGCCTCCCACCATGACAGCTCAGCACGTTCCGGAGGGCCAACCTCCCAAGTCTGTTGCGCGCCATCCTGACTCGGCAACTCCTGCCCTCAAGAACACTCCGGCGGCACAAAAGGATCGCTTGAGATCCGCTATTGATACCGGCAGGCCTAAAGCATCCGCCGACGACAAGCGAGCTACGGGCCAGAGTCAAACAGGGCCGAAAGCCCCAAACAATAAAGTCAGCGGCATTAAACCAACTAAAGCAATCCTGAAGAGAGAGTCTGGTCGGGCAGGGTCGAGTGAGCGCAAAGGGTCCAGAGTTTCAGGGAAGGAGAAGAAGACCTCTAGATTGGGAGGTCCAAAGCCTCAAAAGCCTCCACCCAAAGGGAACAAATCCAACGGTTTGTCTTCGACTCCTGGCAAGCACGGAGGAAACAGCAGCCACATCACCAACAACAGCTCCGTGACAAACTCAACGACTAACACCACCATTCATATCATCGGTGGAAACTCCGACAATTCGGAAGCGGAGCGCAATACCACGAGCGATGACCTGTCTGGAGACGAGACTGATGGAAGTGGCGACTTCCCTGAGGCCATTGGTGTTGATACTTCGGGGCCATCTTCACCAGTTAGTTCAACCGGGCAATATCCTACGGGACAATCAGAGTCGGAAAGTCTCTCCAACAACAATGGAGAGCCTGATCAACAGCTTGAGACTGCGTCTCATTCATCATCTCCAGCATCTCAGATTGGTGGTCAAATATCAAATTTCCCTGGTCAGCAAGCCCAGGTCCAGATCCATGGTCATGGGGTTCAGTCGGAGACCGGCATAGGCACTTTGCCATCAGGCGCTCCCGCTTCATTCATCTCCCAGGAGTCTGCAAATGAAGGCTTTGGTCGAGTTTTCCAGTCTAATGCCGCAGAGAGCGCAATGCCCTCACACAATGGCACACAGTCTGCGTCTGGGGCTGCCACGGCTGGGGGGCAGGACTCAGCCGCCCCCTACTCGACGCAGGATTCACTGCCGGGATACACGCAGCAATCTGTGTCACACCCAGGGCACGAGCAGGGTGGACAAATGTCGTTGTTTCCTTCAGATGGCAATGCTCCCTACGACGACCAGCATTGGAACCCCGCGCCATCGGGGCCACCAGTTTTTTCACCCGGCAATGGCAATCTTCGGTTTTCCAATCATCCCAGCCCGAATTGTGGGACTTCGTACCCGGATATGGACAGCGACAACCAGCTACAGCCAAGCTGGAGGGCAGATGCGATTAGCGATGCGTCTGGCGGTAGTTCATTCTCAGCTCCAACTGGGACGAAGCCCCCGTCAAGTCAGGGATTGCCCCTAGGAGCCCCAGCTTATGCGGCATCTGAACAACAGCCCTCAGTGCCTGCTTCCACCACTACCGGAGGATGGCCTCCGAAGAAGACAGGATTTGATGCCGACTCTTACGGTGTTCCTAATGCTGAAATGCATCGCAAAGGGCAGACCCAACATGAAGGGCACATGTCAGCCGCTCAACCGGGGCCGTACTCCAACCAAGTCGTATCTCCATCGGGGCCAGTGGAAACTGGACAGGGAAACGATCATGGCTACCTTTCTCCGACCACTGCGCAAGCTCCTGAGTCTTCGTACGATCCATGGGCACCACAGACAGGGGCATCACATCAGTCGAAGATAGGCCCGTGGGGAGGAGCACAGACTACAGGCATGGGCAAACCAAATTCAGCCTGGGATTTCCAAGCTGAGCCCATGTCTTCTGCCCCATCAGCAAAGCCTCAGACCTCAGATATCCAAGCGTGGCAGCCACAGGGAAATCTTCCAACTGTGCAGGGTCACTATTCCTCTCCCAGTGAAGATCAAGATGCAAGTTGGGCAAATTGGAGCAATCGTAACAATGCCCCAGCAGCTGGAGGCCCCCAAGCATCTCAGGCTCTTACAAGGCAGACTCCGGCGCCCTACACAGAACAAAGCTCGTACATAGGTCCTTATGGCTCTCGACAAGGACTCGGTGAGCATCAGCCTTTTGCACATGGAGGCCAGCCATCACCGAACCCCGACAGCAGAACCAACAGATTGACAGCAGCTGCCTTGGGCTTGGCTGCGGGAGCGGCTATCGGTTATGGAGCTGCTTCCTTGGCTCGTATCTCATCCACATCGTCTGCATCATCAAGCACTTCCGATCAGGGCGATGACGAACAGAAGCCACATGGCAACCAGGTTTGGAACGATCCATATGGACAAAATGGCACTCTCTATGACGATGGAAATGATGTTGCTCAAGAGACGAGCAGTATCCAAAGTGTGACTTCGTCGTCGCCATCAGATCAGGAAACCACAGGTTGGTTTGCACAAGAGCAACAATCGGTGAATAGCAATTGGGACCAAAATGCCGACAGTACCGACTACATCGACATGAACCACCACGGTGACCTTTACAGTAACGATTCCCAGCATTTCGACGACCGATCCGTGACTTCGAATCAGTCTTCGCCGATGTACTACAACGACGAGCACTTTTCTCAGCAACCGAGCGAATTTGAACAACCGTACGCACACCAAGAGGTCTTGGACACTGCTAATGAGTATGGTGATTGGCCCGGCGAGGGCAATAAATTTCAGCAATCACACGAAGATCAGTCTGAGGGTGATAATGAGGGCGCGTCTGATTCAGAGTCCTCGCTCTACGATCCCCAGCCCGATTACGGCTATGAGCCACAGAATCAGTACTTTCAACATCAAGGATATGCGCCAGAGGCCTATCAAGATTCAGATGGACCTGAGTATGAAGAGAGTGATGTGCAGACCGACTATCAGGATGGAAATGGTGGCGAGTTGAGCGAAAAGTCTGACGGTAACGATGACGGGGATGATGATTACGATAATGGATTTGACTCCCAAGACGACTCAGACTAATTAAGAACAACTGGGAACGACAACATAGATCGTGGATGCTGGATTTCTTGGCAAATTGTTCGTTTTGATTGAAACAATTCATCGATAGAAATTGCTGTCTGCATGAGAACATGTATCGCGTGGCTGATGATTCGACAACAAGCGCATGTTGCCCCTTTTGCAACGATCATACCAATCAACTAATTAAACACCTGTCAAGATCCGAAGATCACAACTATGAGTACTCTCTTTCGTGCCTCAATTATGCCGCGGCAAATGCTGCTTGAGTTGTCGCACAAGCCTGCATAATCTCTCAGAAGGGTGTCCTGAAGTACATGGAGCCTTACTATTTTAAGGACTCGGTCAACGACCAACGTCAGGTTTCTGTGGTTGCACTGTTGGAACAGCATATGCATGCAGTGTGAATTGGCTCGTCCATGAGTGAATATCCACAACAGCCCCTGTTTCCCTGTCGATGCATGAGAAACTCTTCTGCAGTAACGGGAATAAGTTGGCAATGGGCTTGGAGAAATGCCGAACATAGCCTGCTTATATCTGCGCGCAATCTGCTGATCTCGTGCGTCTCAGTTGGACACCCGTTTTCAATTAAGATCCTCGTCTTAACAGACTCGGCAAGTACATTTTAAACTAAACAACAACGACACCGTCATGGATTTTCCCAATTTGGAGACCTGGTGGTACGAGCCGGATCCGGATACCTTGCGATGCTTAGTATGCCAAAGCGGTTTCGCAAAGAAAGCTCTCGTACGGACATTCAAAGTTACCTTGCCAAGCATGGATCAAAATCAGGCCACGGCTTCAAGCAAGACTGTCACCACCCACACGGGATGGAAGGTGATCTTGTTTGATAGACATTTAGATTGTCTTAAAGAGGCAAACGTGCGCCTCCTGGCGATTTCCCACGTATGGGATCCTACCGTCTCTGAAACTCAACAGCAACACCTCCATTCATCCCAGGATCCAGAGGCAAAGAGAATGGTGACAGAGGAGCCTGTCCGCATGTACCGTGGCATTGAAGAGTCCGGGGAAGGTTCTGTCGAGTTATGGCACGACTACTTCAGTGTACCCCAGTGGTCAGACGGCCTCAAGGGCAACATTCTGCTGATGATACATGAGATCTTTCATCAGGCGGATGTTACAGTCGTCTACCTGTATGATGTTTTACCGAGGCTATTCAGCCAGATCACAAAGGGAAGAACCTCAATGGAGCGTCTGTCGGCCATCACCGGAGTTTGCAAGGCTCGCTGGTTCAAACGCATGTGGACGGCCATGGAGTTCGTACGCAGCAGAGCCGTCAGGATTATGACTGCGGACTATCACCTTACAAAAGATACAGGCGATCCTATGTTGCTTCAGACACTTGAGACTCAGTTCTACGAAGAAGTTCAAGAGCACTTTGGGGGCAACGTTTATAGGGTCCAAGATGTGGTCCACATGGACGCTGGAAACCTGATACCATGGTGTCTCGGCCCTCTCAGAGAAACTCGGTCGTCCCAGCCCGCCATCTTCGGAATGGCGTTCTCCTTGCTATCTAAACGACTTTACCGCGAGGATACCGACTTCTTACATGCCCTCCGAGGCATCACGGGAATTCGGCAAGAGCCTTCCACCAGAGACTTCTATGAAGAGCTGCTTTGGGTAGCTAAGGAGCGCCTTTTGGCCGGCGACTACAGCCCTCTGCTTATGACTCCGAAGTTGGTCATATACGATCGGCGCTTGGATCCGAACGAGGCATATAATTTCAACGACCTGTGGACGTGGGATTTTGGGGATCAGGTCAGCCCACCTACTTATGGTCGACCTTCGCTTGGGTCACAGGACCATACACTTTGGGCCAAGCTCGAGACGATTGGTCTTGTTCAGATGATATCAGAGCCTGTTGGATTTGGTAATGATGTGTGGCACCTCAAGTCGTCTATTGACATGACCCTCACCGTTACGGGACCTGACTTGGAACCTTTCGTGGAGACTTTGGGATCAAGGATTTACGGAGCAGATAAGCACGCCATCATGAAGCATCTCAAAGACAACGATCTCGTTGACCCAATGAAGGAAGCTCTTCTAGTACATCATGAGGGATGCCGGCAATGGAGGGGTTGGTGGGTGAAGTCTCTTGGGCTAAGTGGCGACGACATCATCCGGTGGTTTGCCGATGCCCTTACATTGACCAAGCCTATCGAAGGTCTGGGCCAGACTCACATGTATTCCGTCGGTGGAAAGTTTGGCCCGATGCACTGTGGCCCTCACATGTACTTTGCGACGATTTGCTGCGAGCATTGCCACAAGACAGCGCTTTTCCGCGTTGGTCTATTTGCCCCTAAATATGAAGCTCGCGGGGCTAGGGCGTGGAGAATTCCAGGACTACAGTACAGCATGTCGCATCACAACGGGATGGCGTTCTTGGAGAAAGACGGCCGGATTGTTGGTCGGATGATGTGGGCGACTCCAGCTTGCAATTGCCGGAAGGCAGAGGTTGTTGAGTTGCATATGCCCCAAATCCCTGACCCGAGCAAGTACCCCAAGTGGGAGATGTGAGCTTAACTGTCTGAAAGGCCATATATCACGCGTCGACTGACGAATTTATTGATATGGATGAGTTGCAATAGGTTTTTTTCATGCAAAGTTAAGCTGATAGTATAGTGAGGCATCTGACGAATTTGACCGGCTGGACTGTCAATCAACTATCCGGATGTGTTTGTGTAATCTATTTTATTGCCCGTCTCTAACCCGCGCAGCTTGGTATGTCGCCATGTGCACTTGAAATGAAGTTGTTATCCATACTGATTTACTAGTACATCCTATGGAATGCTCAGAGATATGTTCCGGAGAACTCCAATTTTGCTCCCTTCTTCTCCCTTTGGCAACACGCACCTAAAATTTCATAGCATCCGTCCATCAAACGGACCGGTCACGAGGCGTTAGGTACACCATCAGCTCGGGCTTCTCCCAAACAGTCCACCCCTTTTGCCCTTGTGTCCACCTCTTGCTCTCGTCGGCGAGCCTCATTTCGAAGTTCCAGATGACCCTGGCTAGAATCGTTCTCATCTCAATATACGCAAGACTGTGTTTGGAAGTTTGTCAGCAGAATGTCGCAAGCATTGAGACAGGCAACTAGAGGGTTTCAACGCACTTCATTCCGATGCAGTTTCGAGGTCCAAAGGAAAAGGGCTTCCGGCCCTCTCTCTGGTCGGTTTCGAACCGGGGATCACCAAGCCAGCGTTCCGGAATGAACGATTCGGGCTCGGTAAAGTTGCTCGAGCTGTGGTACATTGCCCAATGGGGAATGCTGATAACGGTCTAAGGACGTTAGTAACTACACAGTAGAAGCTTCTATCTGCCGGCACAGATTTGAGTAAGGATGAAAACTTACACCCTCGGGCACATAATAACCACAAAACTCGTCGCCGCCTTTACGCACCACTCGTGGTGACGAGTGGGGAAGCGGCGGGTTTAACCGAAGAGTCTCGTCCAGGACGGCGAGAAGGTAGGGCAGCTTCTGAACGGAGTGAAGGTCGATGTCTTCCTCTCTGGGGAAAGCTGAAAGGATCTCGTTGGTAAGGCGTTTCATGACCTTCGGATGAGACGTGACGAAGAACGTGACAGCAGACAGCGCCGTCGCCGATGTCTCGGACCCGCCCAGCATGAGAAGGAAGCTGTTGCTGACCATCTCGCGCTTCTCAATCGTCTTTGGGAGGAGATTCTTCTCAGCATATGTTATGCGGCGTCGGCTTCGCCACAAAGAGACTTGCCTTTTCACCCTTCTGTCGGAGCATAGACTCCAAAAAGTCCGGGCGGGAACCCACTTCAGCGATCCGCTTCTCTACATTGGCTGCAGCCAGGGCAAAGTTCTCTTCCTCCCCGCGAGAGAGTTCCTCTGGGATTAGTGCCTTCAATAAAGGGGAGAAGGGGGGAAAGCGCATGGCGAGGCCGCGGAACATCTGATGCTTGACGGTGCGACTCAACGCAGCGATCCAAGGGTGGTCTTGCTGCTTTGCAAGGCACCCGAGAGGCTCGCCCCAGGACAGATCGCTAATGATGTCGAACGTGACACGATTATACCACGTCACCATATCAACGGGAGACGTACCATTTTCGCAGTGCTCATGAAGCCGTCGGATGAACAGGTCGACATAAAGGGATATGAGTGGCTGCTGGTCCAAGATAGCCTGCATCGAGAACCCATGGGATAGGACACGGCGCATTCTGCTGTGGTCCTTGAGGCTGGCGCCGAATAGATTGTGCTCATTACCCACAGTCGCAAGTGGTTCCTTCACGTTTTCGGGCTTCGACCCTTTGCGGTGGCCGTTGCTGTCCTTCCACGCGTCGGGGTGTATGAAGGAGAGTTCATTGTCGGCGATCCTCACAACCGGGCCGTATTTGTCATGGAGTCGGAGAAGATCCTCGTGTGGTCGGCCGTCGATCTGCGATATTGCGTAGCGTACTCGGCTTACAGTCCACGCTTTGGGACCTGGGAAATGGCGCAAAGGGTGGAGTAGAATATTGTAAAAGGCTTTTCCACAGACGTATGCCAGACACTGTAGGTACATAAAAGATGTAAGTATCTTACAAATTCTGTATGGTGTCTTGTGAAGGGCGTAGTTCATACCAGCAAGAAAACGACGGCATAGGCGGCTAATGGTGAAGACATCGCTGTGTGTTACGTTGCCGTAATTCCGAGTCTGTGTTCTGTCCAAAAGGGCGTGTAAGAAGATTATGTTGTAGTTTCATTGCTCATGGGAACTGAAAAAGGCACAGGACTACATCGTTTGCTCTTTTTATAAACACTCTCGGACATTTAATGTCCGTTGCAATGACACTTACACGGAGGAAGATCTGGCCGGAAAACTTCTGAACCCCGAGGTGATATGTAATTACTACAGGATCCCAACTGGTAATAGACGAAATCTATTATTCATCCTCCCCTCTTTCAAGGATGCAAGACACCCAATCGTGACGACTTGGAGTGTAACAGTGCTTGAATGTTTGTCTCACCCACCATGAGGCTCGGGAGTGGGGCGCACGTAGCAATTTGCGGGCCGTGGCAGTGGGTCGGAGTCCAGGGCAGCTCAACAGGTTAAAGACAACATCCCCACGAATTTTACTCACATCCGTTTCCTCTTTCTCTCCCTCGTTCAAACCTTAGACGGGTCAAGCTCCTGCAAAGTCTCACAACCGAGACGCGATCTTTCCGGGTTAATCTCTGGACATAGTGGATTTTATTCCTCTTTTGCTAATTACATTTACACACGGGGACCTTGTCGTTTCCTAACGACTTGACAGTGATCTTCCCGTTTACTGCCGCCAGACGCATCCATATTACAACCATGTCGGGCCGTGGGAAAAAGAAAAGGCCTCAGTACGACAACATCTGCTCTTGGTCCGTTACAATAGTGTGCTGAGCCCATTTTCAAATAATGCAGACCTGGTATTTGAGAGATCGAACCTAGAGAGCTATTTTGACAGCCCAATACTGGCGTCTTCGTGCTGCTGTGACGACCATTGCCGACCCCGGTCCGACCCGCCCAAGTGATAATTGGTGCACTCAGCGTAGCCCTTCGAGGTAGCGCTCTCGTAGCAGATAAAGTTTTCTCCATCGGAAGCTTCGATTACAATGAAGGGGCCGCCCGCAGCATCCAAAGCGCGCAAATCTGCCATGAATGGCGTGTCTGAGTTCGACCGGCTAGCTTGGGCTGGCCAGGAAAGCTCCACAGGCCGGCAAGCCGCAGCGCAGTCATGGAACACGAGTTCTATTGTAGAAAATGCATATCGCCTGAATGTACTGTGGATGAACACGTCAAAGTACATCATACATGGGCGCACTTGAGTATCTTTTGCCGGAGACACGGTCCTCATTTACTACGAATACTCTCGAGTTGCAAGTCGCTTCTAAGAGAAATAAGCAGGAGTCCGAGTGCAGCCGGAGTCCTGCCAGCAGAAGTGTAACCAGATTTGTGAGTTTCTTCGTGAATACTTAGGACTATGTACAAAACCATCCGGTTATGCCAAAGAGGCAGCGACCATGGGCGCCAGCTGCTGGTCAACATAATCCTGGTTCCTCCAGTCAGACCAGTCAGCCTTCAACAATCCCCAGCTCTCATCAAAGTTCTGCGTGCCCTGGCGGGTGTAGTAGCTTCCAACCAACACCCAAATGAACCAACTAGCCTTGTACTCAGGCAGGTACTCCGACAAGCAGGTAGAGTACACATTCTGGTACGTGTTATCATTCATGTTGAACCCAAACTCCGTCAGCGCGACAGGGAACACATTGACCGTCTCGGGGTCGCTGGCGTTCGCCGCCTGGAAGCCCTTGTGGTACAGGTTGTACTTGAGCGAGTCGCAGCTGCCGATGGAGCCCTCGTAGTTGTGGATCTCGAGAACAAGCTTGTTGGCGTAGCCCTCGAAGTCGGCGAGGTTGAAGGTCTCGGTGCCGGGCTCGAGCGCGGTGCCCTCGAAGACGGGCGCGACGGTGGTGTCGTAGTTGAGGCCGGACAGGTAGATGAGCACGTCGGGGTTCGCGCCGTTGATGGCGTTGGTGCCCTGCTGGATGTACTTGTACCAGTCTTGCCAGTGGTAGGAGGCGGAGACGAGGTCGGGGTTGTTGGTGGCTTGGCGGAGCTCGTTGCGGAGGGACATGGCGACGAAGGCGGGCCAGGATTTGCCCTGTGAAATTTTAGCGGTCTGTGAGGATCGAGGGAGATGGTTGTTGGCTTACGTGGTTGGCCATGTATGTCAGTCCGCGAACCCAGTTCGATGCAATGAACTCGGTGTCACCCCACCAGGTGTTTCCGTCGTCTCCGGAGCAGCACCACTTGCCCTTGGACATGTGGTTGTCGAGGAGGATGTAGACCTGCTGCTTCTCGCACTCGGCAGCGATGGCATCGTAGACCTTTGACCAGTTAGCTTGGCTGCTGAAAATGATGGCATGATAGCCTTACCTCGAGACGGGTGGTCGCCTCCGTGAAGGAAGGGTTGTTGGCCAAGACTTGAGCCAGCACAGCAGTGCCGTTCGTCTCGCCAAGGCCGTTGACGAAGGCGGTCTTCAAGTCGATGTCCTTGCCATCGTTGTCGTAGATCTGGTCGACGAGCTCAATGGCATACGTCAGGCGAATGGCGTTCATGCCAATGCTCTTGATCTTGGAGACGACGCCCTCAACGGAGAGGAACTGCAGACCCTCCGGGACCATGACCTCGCCGTGGCCAGGCCAGTTGGTTCCGGCGAAGACAACGCGGTTGCCAGAGGCATCGACGGCCTCGCCTCCGTTAGCCACAAGAGGGCCATTGGGCCAGCTCTGTCTGGTGTTGTGGGGGAGAGCGGCGCATAGGCCGGCGAAGCCGACAAGGGTGCTCAAGAACTTCATTGTGAGGAGCCTAGGACTGAAGAACGACGCGTCCAGGAGGTTGTCGCGACAGACAGGAGCTATGGTATCATTTCGCGACCCTCTCCGGCTCTTATATCACTTCGCATTGCATACGACCACCAGCCATCCATCAATGTTCCCCTCACGGACCGAGAGCGGGACCTGCATCTTCCCCCAAGACCCAAGACATCAACACTGACATCACGAGCATTGGCAAAACTTCCCGCTCTCCAAACTATTCCCTGAAATGGTACGCGCCAATGTTCATGACTAGCACTCAACCATGGCCGCAGCGGGGCATCTCTCGGGCGGCCCTCAGGCGATTGGGCTCGGGGGTTGCTTTCGCCCGAGAACACGAGGACAGCCAAGGCCGCGCAACCCCCAGACTCAATCCCCCCCCGGATAACGACCCGAAATCAGACGACGGCAGTCCAGGGACGACAAGGGTGCGCCAGCTCTTGGATCGACGGCCGTTCGTCCCGCCCCCGCATTGCTTGTCGAATCTGCCGACCAAGGAGCCCAGCGCTATTCCCCCACACCTTCAGCGAATCCCCGCAGAAGCGGCCAAAGCTCCCAAAATCGGCTCCGGTGCGCGATCACAAGATGTGGTGGTGAGGTTGCAGCGGTGTGGAACCCGGGCGGCAGTAGTTCGTAGTTCATCGGCTCCGTGATCCCCGCGTTCGTGACGCACGAATCAGAGAGGATGGAGCTTAGTGTCAGATATAAGGCGCGACCAATTGGGGGGCAAAGGGGCGGCTTTTTTTTTACAACCCCCCCCTATT